TCATAATCCCCTTAATGATATAATTAAGCCAATTATATATGACATTCTCATCTGTTAACACTCAAGGGTTAATCTCCTTAAGTCTTAATAATTATTTATAGCACTTGTAACATTATTAACTTAAAGAACATGTAACATGCATCACATATCTCTATTTTATGTTATCCCTATCACTATCACAGCATTATTGGGCAACATATCTGGGCCAATTATTAGATTATCAGGATATCAGGAACAGTGTAGTTGTCAGAGACAACATACTTCTTCATTGGACACCTGGGTTATATCTTAAATCATATTTTACCCTATATACATGTAATATTATAATGAAGTATGTCCTTTTTGAAGTTGTGTAAGATGGGCTCAGAGTTGGTAACTAAATAATCCAGGATGTAACAACATAATGCCCATCTTCACTGTACATTGAACAAGTAGGACACTCTCTATGTGAGAAGATAAACAACATAGATATGACATAAGAAATGACAACGCTGAAAAACCAGTTGGAGAGGGTTTCAGCCTTCCTATACTAATATTTAAGTCCTTGAAACTGCAAAAGTAGAAATTACAAAGAAAAAGTAGAAAGTGAAACAGAAGAACTGAACTGAATTCTCAAATTTCAATCCATTACGCAAGGTATGAACAAAGACAATTGTTTCATGGCACGCTACATATACACACGTTATTACTTGAATCCTTGCTACCGCACACATAACACACATAACAAACTCAATCTCCTCAGAGAAAGTTTTAACCCCAAGGAAACTGATATTTGGTAAGATGATGTGATAGGGCAATAATCATGAAACTAGAGAAATTAAAGTTAAAAATATATACACACACACCCCTCCTGTATTTAGAAATGATCTTCCACGAAGGGTCCGTCTTGTCTGGAACATTTGTAGTTAGCACCTAAGAAACATGTGCAATCAACAACTTTCACAAGATAGTTTGTGCGGAAGGCTAAAAAGCTGACAAAGTATCTATTGCCACATATGGGGGAAAGAGCAATGTGAGTCTTGTACTTTCCATTGTCAAGAAATCATGTGATTTACAAGAAATCAGTTAGTAAATGCGCCAAATAAGGAATTAAGCCTAGGTGGTAGGTTGTAATTGGATCACTTTTGCTGCAGTGCCAAAGGGTCTTAACTATATAATGTAAATCTGAGAGATATTGGGCAGCCTCATGAAAGTACCAACCTGCATGTTTGGTATGGTTGGCCTGTCTCATCATAATTATGATGAAAATAATCCTTGCTTTTGTTTTTTACTCCTGAGACTGGTTTTCATCTGTTTGCCTCCTGCGACCGGACTTTAGGTTGGGACCAAGTTTGGGGGTCCCTAACAGATGTATTGCTCTAACACTTCAGTACTAACTGGCCATTGCAAAGATCTAAAAGACCTGTTTCGCTTCACACAACCCTTCGAACGGTCATGATTTTCAACTTTCTGGACCATTTTACATTCTATCTCATCATCACAACTATATAATTATACTTAATAACCTGAGGCTTTAGTACAACTCTGTACTGTATCCAAATAAGTTGGCTGAGATCCATGAAAGCTCAAGATAAAATAAATAAAAGTCATTCAGTCTTAAAGGTGCTCCTGAATTGCTTCCTTTCTCCCATCCCCCGCATTCTTCTTTCTATTTGGCTGTTTTTGTTTCTGTAACAACATTTTTGAGATACAATTGCTAGGTGATAGTTTCCAGCTTAGTGTTAGGGCATAAGTTATGCATATAGAAGAATCAAGGAGTAAGGATTTAAAGCTGAACATAACACACTGTGTTATGCAGCTTTACACATATTCAAGCTGTGTGTCAAGCAGATGGTATATTTTTAAATACTGTACTTCCTCTCAGAGGTCTCAACCAGAAATAATTAAGAACACTGATTAATTAAAATGAAATAGCAATGTTATACTTTATTCAATATCTGTAATCAACCATGAACTATTCTGTACTGTACTGTACTGTAGTAACATATCATAATGCTGAAATATCACCTCTTAGAAGACCTTCCTTGCCAATCACCATGGCCAAAACACCAGACCACAGTTGAGAGCTCCAGTATCATTATACTGGTCTAGCTGAGGCACTAACCTTTTTTAAGCTTCTTACCCATCTCTCTGTTGAGATTGTAAATTCAAAAATTTGGGCAACCTTGTTCTTCTTGATTTTATGTAAGCTGTCCTAAAAAGCTTTGTGGATCAGAAGCAAGATAAAATGCTTTCTAAGAATAAACAAATATTATATAACTTCTGAATACTGTCAACATCCTCAAATTATACACATTGAAAAGAATCAATTATCACAGGACATTAGGGGCCAAAATTAAATCCATTGGGCCTACATCAACTACAGTGTATAACGCAGAATTGGAACTACCATCCCATCTTTAGCTCAATTGTGTCTGAAGGAATAAAAACTGGATGCCTGAGGGGCTCGTGGTTCTACAGCACCCCTATGGAGAAGTGGCCTTCTGCCACCTCTTTTTTTACCACTTGGACTACTGAAACTCAACTTTGAGTTTTCCATTTCTCAGGACTAAGGCCCTCATTCATTAGTTGCCAGCAGAAACCAACATTCTGCCCCCAGGTTAACTTCGCCATCTACCTGGGTAGAATTTAGCTGCTGTGGGATCAGATTCAGTGGCAATGAGAATGATTTCAAAAGAGTTCGTCATTTTGGTGAATGGTTAGAGGAAGCGTGAGTGAAAACAATTGCCTTAATGTAACACCGATCTAGCAGAACGGTAGGTGAACGGTTAAGTTGAATGAAGGAGGATGCATTTTCAAGTGGGGAGTAATTATGAGACATTGGTGGTGTTATGGAATATGAGTTAGTAATGAAGATTTAGTTATGATGCCATTATCCTTCAAAAAGTTTGTTCCCCTTAGATGAGTGGTTCTCAACCTGTGGGTCCCCAGGTGTTTGGGCCTATAACTCCTAGAAATCTCAGCCAGTTTATCAGCTGTTAGGATTTCTGAGAGTTGAAGGCCAAAACATCTGGGGACCCAAAGGTTGAGAATCACTACCTTAGACTGTTCCCCAGTTCGAATACCATGGGCAGAATGAACAACAGTTCATCAAATAACAATGCTGCTGGTGAATCTCATACTGGTAAATGGCAAACAACAGCTGTCCAGGTCCCAATCAGTAGCCTGCCTAGATGAAGCTAACAGCTAGGCAAATATCTCTTAGTTCATGGTAGTTTTCAATACTGCAGCAGCCAAGACTTGGAGGATTGCAGTGGTTGATCTTAATTCTGTCTTATAACCCGAAATCTGCTGGGTTCAAGTATGTATATTTGAAAATGTGTGGCCATGACTAAATACAGATTTTGCTGATGTTATCACCATCGTGCCAATCAACAGTTTCTCTTCCTGAGCTATTGACCTCTGACATAGTGTTGGAAAACCACTCCAGAACTTTCTCCAAACAATTACCTGATTTGCTGAGAAATGGTATTAATAAAACTTATATGATTAATTATTTAGCTCCTTTTTTACATATGAAAACTTGTAGTTGACTTTTATTTACATTATAACAGTTTCACAAAATATCTTCAACTACTAAAATCTTTAATTTAAACCCAATTGCTAATCCCAACTAGAACAATTACATTATATCAATGAAACCCAAATTAGTGTTGCTTTACCATTCAGTATCATTCTGTGGATCTAATCTACTTTGGAGTAGCAGTCTGACTTGAGCCTTATGCTCAACCCACTATGGACTTGCTGTTGTGTAGAATTTTTCCCCATTTCAAATGTTATTTGTATGGCAGACAATAGATGGAGAGTTTCCCATGCTAAAAGTTATTTAATAAATTTGTCATAGACATTTCCTTTTTCTTTCCAGTTTTCATAAAAATAAAATACAGTAGTAATCACAGAAGACTATATTTATCATACTACTATGAGCTTTTTGTGTTTTCTCTTGGATATGCATGTGTAGGAGTGACTGTTTTATAAATGCCACACAATGATATTTTTAACATATGCTGATATAGATATATTCATAAGTTTTTCTCCCCTGCAAGCAAATGAAATGACATAAATATCAGAAATACTTTACATGTGCATGCATAATATTCTTGTTTTAATATTAATGATCATATGATATGTGCAGTAGGTCATAATTATGTACATGAATTTTACATATTCAAGACTGATAATATCTATATTGTGTTTCTGGATAGGATCTCTAAGACTTTTCGTCACTTGATAAACATATACATAGCAATCTTATGCATTTTTACTTGGAAGCAATATCAATGTGTTTATGGGTTTTATTCACTAATAAGTGTGTTTATGACTGAAGGGTTAGATTAAATTATTAACTATTTGGGGACAGCAACTAACATTTAAATGAAATGGCTTAAACTCAGACAGCTCATAAGATTAAGTAGGCTACTAATTATTAATCTATTATAACACACTACCAATAAATTCTCCCTTGTAACATTCAAGAGAAATGTAATTAGTGCTCAGTCGGTTGTTAATTTTGCATATATGATCCTATGCTGCACACATATGTACATATCATATATAAAATCTAAAGCTACAGTACATATCATATGTAAAAATAAAAATATTGACTTTAGTTTTCATTGCCACACTATACAGTACGTACCACAGATATATCATATCTGTGTATCTTATTTGCTGCTATAAACACGTGGTGTAAAGGAGTGAACTATATTGCAAACATGCAATAAACATGCAGTAGAAAGCTGTACTTATTTAATAACATGTGCATAGTTAACTGCTTTGCCACTGTGGATTATTTGGATGTGCCCTGTCCCCAGTGACTGGTCATGTGCACTTCCTCTTCACCATATACTTACTACACCAAAACTAGACAATGTTCCCATAGTGCTACTAAACTGTGAATAACACCCCACCCCATAATTGCACCTCAGCAAACCAACAACAAACCATTTGAACATAAAATTGCAAAAACCAAATTATCTGAGAAAAAAAAAGTTTCTAACCACTTTATCCTCCTGGAGAGCATATCCATGAAAGCAAGTAAGAAAGAACAGGAAAAGACAAAAGAGAAAAGGAAAGTTACTTCTATTCTGAAAACAAATATACACATACACATAGTGGTATCTGTTAGCATATAGAATGCAAAGAACTATATAAAAGTAAAATGGCAAGAGATCTATGAGCCTCTAAGAAATAAACACTGCAGCTTCCAAGACAAATACCTACTACATCACAGTCCTGCAGGGGAAAAAAAGTGTGGAATACAAAACAACATAATAATGTAGACATCATTCTATGTTGTGACTAAAAGCTCAAGTCAACTGAAATTTTAAAAAATTAAAGAACACAATATTAAGTGACAGTGAACCACACAAAGAAATCAAAGTTATCTAAACAAACAATGGTTAATAGTTATGCCTGTACTACACCTATAGGGTTTAGAATTACATAGTGGCTTGGTTTAAGTATAATGCTAATAATGAGATTGTTTCTCTCCTACCTCTTCTCATCCAGGATCTCCACAAGGTTTTTCTTTTTAACTAACAACCATTTGCCATTTGGTCTAAATTTGGATGACGCCTGACTTGGAAATCACTATTTGAAGTTCAGACAAAACAGATCTTAAACTAAGCACAGTTTGTCCTGATTTAAATTTTAAAAAACGGATTATATCTAGCTAAGAATGGAGGCATATCATGGGACGGGACAGATCAGGAGTTTAAAGTTTGTGTACATAATACTAATACCTATAATTCAGTTTTAAATGTGAATGCAGCAATCTCTAGACTGACACATAACACTAGAGCACGTAACCAAATTATAGTTTGTTGATATGTCTGAACCTAACCCTACAAATCTCCATTATTTATATATGAAAACACACAGGCCAACAAATACTGTATGATCTAAGACATGGATGAACAACTTTTTCAGGCCCAAGGGTAATTTCTCACCACCATCTACTAAAATTGTAAAAGCGTTTGCAAAACGTTTTTCCACTTCTTATTTATTTCAAAAGAAAAAAAACACAAAATAGGTATGTACTAATATGTCATTTCCAGGTTACATGCTTCCTACAGAAAATACTGTTACTGGAGCAATCACTTTTACACCTTAGCGCACTTGTAGAATGCTGGCACTTTTTTTCATGCAAATTCCAGTCCTCCACATAGCATTGCCCCATCTGTCTTTGTCCTACACAGCATATGTGTACTATGTTTTCCCCTTTTCCTCCTGTTTTGTCAGACAGTTTTGGCATTCTCGTGAGATCCTTTTCTTCATTGCAATATCAGGGCTACAGTGGAAGGACATTTCCACACAAGGAAGAGTAACAGCAGAACAAAGATTTCTTTGATAGGCTTTTCCCATCAATGAAAAGAGACAATCCACATAAAAATAACAGGACTTCCTGGTATGAGTTATTTTTAAAACAAATTATGGTTTGTAAACATATTTTGCCCACTTTGGAATCAATAGGAAGTTCTATGTAGGGTACCAGTCCAATGTCATTAATAATCTCCATGGACACTTCACTTTCTAAAGTCTTGTAAACTTCAAGTTTACAAAAAGACACAGATGAACAGAAACTATTTCAATCAGTGGATTCATATTTCACTCCTTTGCCTGATTTCTTGATCTACACTTCCCCATAAATACTTCTTGATAAGTATGTTTTATAGATTTTATTTGTTAATTCATTTGATGCGCTAATCTGCTGTTGCAAAAATGAAATTGTTGCCAGATTCTTTGCTTTAACTGATCTTAAAGAAAAAGAAAGACCATCATGATCTGCCATTCATCTAACTTAAAAATAAATATCATTTTACCATGCAAAATGAATCACAATGTGTATGCTGTTTATTTTGAACTGAATTTGGTGGTTAATAAATTATAGTTATTGAAGAGAAATTTATCTTGGTGCAGATTTTGGAATATCTGGGTGAAAAATTAATTTGGGATAATGGGCAAATTAATTAAATTAACTTGGATGATCAGAGGCATGGTGCACATTGAACAATTATTTTGGGGTGATTTGGATGAAAAATTAATTGCCTCGCTTTCTGTAAAATGTGAATTCAATTAATTATTTTCAATTTGCATACACGTATATAAATCAGCATGTGTAGATTTTATGCAGTCAGCAATGCCTTCACCTAGATGTCTCATTTCTTAGGAAAGGTAGATTTGTCTAAGGTGCTCCATGTCTTACTATTTGATTAGACAACTATAACACGTTTTAGGTTTGATAGCCTCTGAACTGTATTTGGAATCTCTAGCTAGTGCAAAATGCAATGACCAAATTAATGCTTTACATCCATTTTAAAAATATGTATCAACAGTCTTGAACCTGCACTGGACATCATTTCCACCCAAAACTCACTTCATAGGACTCTCATTGTGTTACGAAGTCTTACATGACCTGGGGGCATATATCTAAAATGTCAACAGGTGTTATAACAGCCTTCCCAAATACTGAGGGCACATTCAGACAGCTCTTTAAAAGCGGGAGCTCCCACATTTTCAAGTGGGCCGTCCAAATCACGGGCCACATAAAAAAGAATTCATTCACCACAAAGCAGGAAAACCCTGCAGGAAAAGTCCAGGCTTCCCATTGAAATACTAATAAGTTTATATTTGTTAAAATTGTTCTCCATTTTAATTATTGTATTGTTTTTAAGTGTATTTTATACTAAAAATAAGATATGTGCAGTGTGAATAGGAATTCATTCATGTTTTTTTTCAAATTATAATCTGGCCCTCAAACAGTTTGAAGGGACTATGACCTTGCCCTCTGTTTAAAAAGTTTGAGGACCCCTGGTCTAGACAATCAGAAATTCTGGGATTTCTGAGGGGGCCATCTGCACAGCTGTCCCGTGTTTTCCGAATCTAACTCCCTCCCGACCCCCATCCACCCCCAGAAAAGCCCTGTTTTCCTAGTAGGTACCGGGATGACATGTAGACAACACCAGCAGAATGCGTGGGCTTTTGGGGCGATGTACAGTCCTTCCTGACCCTGGTTTATTAAACCCTGGTCGGAGCAGATTTTACCACTGTCTGGAACCGCCCTGAGATCACATGCAGAGGCTCCACTTGAACAATTCAAGAACTACGTTGGTGATTACATGAGCGAGGGCTTTCTTTGTAGCAGCACCACAACTGTGGATCTCTCTACTTGGGAAAGTCAGAGACTGCCTCTGTGCATATTGAGCTTCCAGGAGGTGATAAAACTGTATTGCTTCATATAGTTTTGAAAACATGTATTGTTCTTTAATTGCAATACATGTTATTTTATATCATTGGGAAGCACTGGTGGCATGGAACTGATCAATCAATCAATAAATGAATGAATCAATGTAATGTGCTATGCTGTATGATATTCTTCATATAACCTCCCCTCCCTTTCCCTTCTCCAAATTCAAACTATGCATGATTATACAATTTTATATTTCTGATCTATCTCTATTATGTACAAGAGAACTGTCAACCATGCACAAGAAACAAGCACTGGCAGACTAAACGGGACTTATTGTCCAGGACAGTAAGGATTCACAGTGCTCGGTAAGTACAAAAAAATTGCTGAATAATAATAGAAAACCAGATAGTAAGGAGAAGGGCAGGAAAACACCTTAGAAGAAAGAAGACTAGGGTCAATCAAGACATTAATATTTGCTACTGATGGTTTTTTTAATGAGCAGGAGGTTTTTTTAATGAGCACACAGCAGCTCGAAAGACAAATAGCAGCTACATGTACGTTTTAAAAAGAAAAGTCAGAGGTGCTCTAATTCTTCTCCTTCCACAATGTTCACATCATGTTCTTGCTTTTGTAAAGAAAAAGACAAAGAAGCCGCATCATAAGATTCATACGTATCTTTAACATAAATGCAGTTTGAGTTCAATATTTCAGGCCAGTAAGAAAACACTTTTTTTCTGTTAAGGTGCTTAATTCAAAACTGCAGATAAGTCCACGAAGGTATCCAGCCTAGGGAAAATGTAGTAATAGATTTCCTACACATAGGGAATAAAACATATATGTTTATATACTTAAATATCAATATAAGAGAGATAGAGCAGATATATAATATTTAAGTCTCTACACTTATGCCCTTAAATATATTGGGCAAAATAGATGCCCTGTGATTTCCAGATTTAACAGGCAGGGATTAGGAGTAATTCTTCTTTTATTGCTTTAACATTAGGCCAAAAACATTTTATGGCGACCTTTTATACCTTTAGTCACAGATATGCAGATTGAAATTTCAAGAGTATTCATTGCCAAGGTGTATCTTACCTTGTTTGAGCGTAAAGACACTCTTCCTCCACAACGTGCACAGAATTTAGTTTGGCAATATGAACAATTATGGCCACAGCCGTCGGCAAATTTTGTTTTGTGACAGATACCACAGGTTGGAGCATCACCCTTCTGCTCCTGTTGGTGCTGTGATTCTTCACCCATCTTTTTCACTTGTTCTTTATACATTTCAAACTGCTGATGTAATTTCCTGCAGAAGAAAACAAGAAAAGGTTTATAATACTGTAGTCAAGTAAGAATAAGAAGATAGGACTGCCATCTGTTTAAATTATAATGTAAATACTTAACAATGTTATTAATCAAAGTGTGTGTACTATTTCTTTGTAGGATTCAGAAAAATTGGTTCCTTCTAATAGTCTAAATTAAACTGGGGTTGCATCTGTACTTTAAAAGTAATGCTATCTAATTCCACTTTCACTGCCATGGCTCAATGGTATGGAATCCTAGGATCTATACTTTGGTGAGGCACCAATAATCTTTGGCAGAGAAGGCTAAAGACCTTGTACAACTTCAACTTCCATTACACTGGGCAATGGAAGTTAAAGTAGCATCAAATTGCATTCATTCTATAGTTTAGATGCACTCTCTGTGTAGATGTCTGTGCAGCTCTTTGACATTGGGATGCAATAATGCCAATGTGGTTTGAATTCTGGACAACAACTCTGGAGACCAGGATTCGACTCTGCTCAAGCCTGGAAACCTACTGGTTGACCTTTGACAAGTCACTCTGTCTCATCCTCAGAGGTAGGCAAAGACAAAGTTTCTCTGAACAAATCTTTCCAAGAAACTTACATGATAGGTACAAGATCAGCATTCAACCTTATATAATAGAAGCAAATTAAAACAGCTTTATAAAGCTTAAAGTTTAAGTTAAGTAGCTAGCTGGTGATACATAATATCACATAGATTTACATCTGTTCAATGACTGCCCCCTTTCTCCTGACACGTCATTTCTACATGCCAGGAGAGCTCCGGCAGCAGTTTAATGGCAGCCGGGTAAGTTATTTTACTCCCCCCACCATTTTTAAGGTGTTATAGGGAGAAGGTGTGAACCCTCTCGTGTATTCTGGACTGTTTCAGCCCAGAAAATGTGAGAGGGCTGTGTGGATGGCCACCTCTGGTGCCTGAGAACTTCCAAGGGGGCAGTCCAGACAGTGGCTACACTGGGTTCGATCCAGATCTTTCGGGAAGACTCAGGTCTTTGCAACATCAAATTACTTTGGAATAAACCTGGGTTTTCCTGCTTTGTCACAAATGCATTAGCTATTACATGGGGTCTCATTTGGATGCTACACACAAAAATCCTGGAGTGTGCGCATTTTAGACGCTGTCTGGGTGCACCCAGAAAGTGAGTTTGCAGAATATCTGTAACCTTTTCTGTATTCCCTAAATATGGCAGGAATAATGCCTAGTTTAAAAGGAGGTAACCGACAGTGCATTTCCCCTCCCACCCCCCACCCCCCAAAATTGTATTGGCAAAAAGGCAGTTAAAAGAAAAAGTCTAAAAGGGTAAAACCTTGAAGCTACATTATAGAGAACAAAAAGCACAGGTCAGAAAATAAAACACGAAGTCCAAGAGATCACCAGCATGGCTAATGAGAGATGTGAAGGAAGCTATCAGAATTTAAAATTCTTCCCACAGATTGGAAAGCTTGGACAATTGAATTGAAGTTCAAAGAAGACACATTTCCACATAGAAAATGCAAATAGAATACCTGTGGTACAAAAGAGAATTTTGAGGAACTTGTGCCTTTTCTACACCGCTATATAAAATCCAGATTATCTGCTTTGAACTGGATTATGTAGCAGTGTAAACTCATATAATCCAGTTCAAAGCAGATAATGTGGATTATATGGCAGTGTAGAAGGGGCCTTAGAAGTTAAAAGGGTGAAACAGAGACCCCTTCTACACTGCCATATAATCCAGGTTATCAAAGCAGATAGTCTACATCAGGGGTCCTCAAACTTTTTAAACAGAGGGCCAGGTCACAGTGCCTCAAACTGTTGGAGGGCCGGATTATAATTTGAAAAAAAACCCATGAATTAATTCCTATGCACACTGCACATATCTTATTTGTAGTGCAAAAGATACTTTAAAACAATACAATAATTAAAATGAAGAACAATGTCAACAAATATAAACTTATTAGTATTTCAATGAGAAGTGTGGGCCTACTTTTGGCTGATGAGATAGGATTGTTGTTGTTGTGTGCTTTCAAGACATTTCAGACTTAGGTTGACCCTGAGCGAGGCCAGGTAAATGACCTTGGAAGGCCACATCCAGCCCCCGGGCCTTAGTTTGAGGACCCCTGGTCTACATTATCTGCTTTGAACTGGATTATCTGAGGCTACAATGCCATATAATCCAGTTCAAATCAGATAATCTAGATTTTATATGGCAGTGTAGATGGGACCAGAGGCTATTGCTAGTCAGACATATCACTCCTTTAAAAGACAATAAAACTGGGGAAAGACAGAAGAAAAAGAAAAAGGCTGTATGACAGATGGCTTGATTCAGTAAACGAATCCATGGCACTGAGTTTGCAAGGCCTGAACAAGGCGATTAGCAATAATATCTTCTAGAGAGCTATCCTTCTTATGTATGTACTTGCCTTCAAGTCACCTGTCAACTAACAGCAAATCTCTGAATCTCATAGAGCAGTGATTCCAAGTAAAAGTGAAAAGAGAGCAAGCAGATGACCTCACCGGCAAATTATAAACAAATAAAATCACTGGTTCCAGAAGGTTTCCATCTGTTAATTTATATATCCTATATCCCGCCTACAACACAGTTTAAGACAACATACTTAAAAGACAATCCTTATTTTACATGTTTTAAAACAATTAAATAACTAATATTGCTCTACTAAAAACAGCACTGTGGAGTCCCTCAAGGCTCAGTTTTGCTTCCCATGCTGCTTAACATGGAAACTCTGTGAGAGGTAACCCTGAGTTTTGGGATTTGGTGTCACCAGTATGCTAATGACATCCATTGTTGTCTCTCCTTCCCCCCTAATTCAAGCGTTTTGTTTCTGTACTAAACCAGTGTCAATAATGGACTGAATGAGAGTGAACAAACTGAAATTCAATCCAGACAAGACAGAGGTGCCTCCCAGCTAGCTATTAACTAGATCAAGGAATACGGATTCAGCCTGTGTTGGAGGGAATTTAGCTCTCCCTTATTCCAGATTTTGAGAAAATACTTTGATTCAGATCTGAGCCTGGATTACCATGTTTTGGTGGCCATTAGTATGTCTATACAGCTAAAACTAGTGCACCAGAGGCATCTATTCTTGAAGATCCTGTAAAATTTGACATGATGATGAATGCCTAAATTATATACTCTGTGTACGCTATGAACCTTCCGATCAAGGTGAAAGAAGAAAGTGCAAAAGCTGTGCTGCAGTGAAACATAAAAAAAAAATGTTATGGCAACCAGCTTGATTGATAACTGGCAAATAGAGGGAGAAAACGTGGAGGCAGTGACAGACTTTGTATTTCTAGGTGCAAAGATTACTGCAGACGCAGACGCAGACTGCAGCCAGGAAATCAGGAGACGCTTTCTTCTTGGGAGGAGAGCAATGTCCAATCTCGATAAAATAGTGAAGAGTAGAGACATCACACTGGCAATAAAGATCCACATAGTCAAAGCAATGYTATTCCACATAGTAACCTACAGATGTGAGAGCTGGACCTTAGGGAAGACTGAGCGAAGGAAGTTAGATGCTTTTGAATGGTGTTGGAGGAAAGTTTTGAGAGTGCTTGGASTTCGAGAAAACCCAACCAGTCCATACTTCAAGAAATAAAGCCCGACTGCTCATTAGAGGGAAAGATAGTAGAGGCAAAGATGAAGTATTTTGGCCACATCATGAGAAGAAAGGAAAGCTTAGAGAAGATAATGATGCTGGGGAAAATGGAAGGAAAATGGAAGAGGGGCTGACCAAGGGCAAGATGGATGGATGGTATCCTTGAAGTGACTGGCTTGACTCTGAAGGAGCTGGGGGGTGGTGATGGCTGGTCCATGAGGTCACGAAGTCGGAAGCGACTGAACAAATGAACAACAAACACCATTTATATTTAATTCTTTTTTAATGTTTATTTTTGTTTTACATTTTAAATTGTATTGAAATGCTTTTAATGTAAGCTGCTTTGAGTCTCCTTATAAAGAGGAAAAGCGGGATATTATTATTATTATTATTATTATTATTATTATTATTATTATTATTATTATTCTGACACAAAACACAGTATGTCACAGCGAACGAGATATATATGCTGGATTTCATATCACAAAATCACAAGTCGAAAACTTCCCAAGCGTCTAGGACTGTGTGATGCATTTTCAAATGATGCGCAGAGATCCAAGTAAGGTGGCCTTTTGCAGTTGACAGATTGTGATTTTATCAATGTTGATTGTTTCCAAATGCCAGCTGAGATCTTTTGGCACGGCACCCAGTGTGCCGATGACCACTGGGACCACCTGTACTGGTTTATGCCAGAGCCCTTGCAGTTCGATTTTGAGGTCTTGATAATGGCTGAGTTTTGATGATGATGATGATGACGATGATGATGATGATGATGATGATGATGATGATGATGATGATGATGATATGTGGATCTGCCTTTGGCAACTGTTCAGAAACTTCAGCAATTCCAAAATGCTATAAGCTCTGAAACCTTCTTTCTCGGGAGGCCTGCCTGACCTCGTCCCTGCTATCTTTCCACTATCTCATTGTCACTTTTTCTTATCAAGCCATATCCCTTTCTCTTAACTATTCTTTTATATCCATCTTAAATTATGAATCCTCCGGGACAGAACTCAACTTCAGAACACTACGGTACAGTATATAGTTGCTGTGCAGCATAATTAAAGGAAAATGTTTGTTGCTCCTTGTTTCTATAAACATTGCCATTAGGGTGTTACATGCTTTCAGGTCATTTCTGACTTATAGCAATCCTGAAGTGACCCTATAGTGGGGTATCCATGGTAAGATTTGTTCAGAGTGGATTTGCCTTTGCCTTCCTCTGAGCCTCTATCCTACCAAATAGGAGCCCCCGGTGGCACAATGGGTTAAACCCTTGTGCTGGCATGACTGAAGACTGACAGGATGGAAGAGTGCGGATGAGCTCTCTCTGTCAGCTCCAGCTCCCCATGCAGGGACATGAGAGAAGCCTCCCACAGGGATGGTA